GGCTTCTTGCAGGCCCAACTGGGATACTTGGGAGAAGGATGTTCCAAGCAAAGGGAATAGCTTGAGCAAAGGTTCTAAGGCAGAAGTGTGCCTTGCGTATTCGAGGAATGGCTAGAAGGCCAATGTGTTGTGAAAAAATAAGCAAGGGAAAGAGGAACAGAGAGGAGGCAAGAAATGTAACAGGGAGGGGGATCACCTAGGACCTTGTAGGCCTATGTAGGCTGTAGGTTTTTCTCTGAGTGAAATAGGAAGCTACTGTATGGTTTAGAGGAAGAGTGACAGCATCTAACCTAAAGGATCACTCTGACTTCTATGTTGAGAGTAGACTCCGGGTTGGTGGCTAGAATGAGGGAGGCCAAAGTTAGAAGTAGAGGAACCTAAGAGGAGGCTATGACAACTATAGAAGATAAATCGAATGAGTCCCCACAGGGATTTTTAGTGCCCCTCCCAACTCTGCCATTCATAGGAACCTACAGGGAATTGGATCTAATTGGGGTTGATATTATAGTCTTAAATCTCAAAACATAATTAAAAGAATGCAAGAATTAAAGCGTAAGAGTTTAAAAGTTGTGGGCTCTCAGGGGGCTGCTGCTGGGCCGCTGGGTCTCTCTTTGTGGACTTTGTCTCCTGAGGCCTGGAACAGGAGGAACTCCAGTCCGTTCCAGCCTCCATGGCAGCCCACGGTTAGGTGCACCAGGGTTTGCTGATGTCATCTTGTGCTGTTCCACCCTTGGCGCCAGCAGAGCTGCTGCCCCACTGTCCCAGAAAAGTCTGAGCCTGTAGTTTAGGTAGGATGCCACATCTGCATCCTCAAGACCTGTTATCCATGCGCAAAAAGATGTTGGGAAAGGCCATTTTGCCAGGAGGGGTTAGGGGAGGGACAGATAATCTATTTTTAATAAATAACATCCTAGAAAGACCAAAATAAATTTAAAAAATAATAAAAGTTTTAGGCTCCATGAACTGGAGAGGTCAGAGAAATAGAAGAATTGTAGGAGTTACTGAGATAAACAGAAGGTAGGTAGTGGTAGAACGATAGGATAATTTAAATAGAAATATTGAAAGATCTCTGTTGTTCCTTAAATGGTCTATAATCACGGAAGTAAGTCTGAAAAGGACTGGAGGGGAAAAAGACTCAGAGTATAGGAGGTTGAGAAACTTAGAAGCCTTGCGAGTGAATAAATTGTCTATGTGATGAATAGTATTAAGAAAGATGACTGGATTAGTAGCAGGCAGAAGGACTGAATAAGAAAATTTCTGAAGGTAATAAAGTAAGTACAACGAGAAGGGGTATTATTATAAAGTAACATGTATAAAGCAGCAGGGCTTTAAAGTAGGAGGGACCAAATGATCTGGAAGCAGCAGGGAGGAATTCTGCACTATTTTCATCTTGAAAGTCAGGACCTCTATACGTCCAAAAAAAAAAAAAAATAGAAGAATGACAAAGTGGAATTTGGCTTATGGCAGAACTCCAACAAACCTCAATTGCCTTGGGCACTCAAAATACAGGGATCTTCCGCCTCAGTTGTCAATGATATCATGATAGGGATTTAGAAGGAATCAGTATATAAATATGAATATCAGAGAAATTATAACCAGTCAGAATGGATTGCAGGTATTATATAGAAACTTCTCATATACATAAGAAGAAAAATGTAAATTTTTGTGTTAAGGACATATAATCATGGAGGAAACAGGGCAACAGAAGACTGGACATGTCTGTCTGCTTTGAGATACCCCAGTATGGGTTCTTACCAGGAGGCCTCATCAGTGCTGTGTGAGTGTGCACAGCATTTAGCCAGCACCTGGCTCTTCTTATGCAGAATAGAGATAACTGGATCCATAGATTCCAAGCCAGGTAGCTTACATTTAGTGAACTAACCTGCTTGTTCTAGCCACATTTGAGACACTCTTTAGGAGTAATGAAAAATCCCTTAATAAACATAAAGTTGAAATTGGCATTAAGAAGGAATGTCCACACCCGTAGTAAAGAACTTTCTTTTACAATCTAGAAAACTTGTGAAGGAAATTTCTGTTTGCAACTTAGGAGAGAATGAAGGGGAAAGCGTAGTTCAGAAAACGTAGCCTTTCTTGGGATCTCCCACCATTCGCATGGGATGGCAAAGGCAGGAGGACGGGGAAATCTCCAGTGTGGGTAGCCAAGGTTTATCTTACTCCTGTGTGTTTTGAGCAGAGAGAATATCTGAGGAATCCTCAAAACCCATCTCATAATCCTCAAACCAACCTAAGGTTTCCTATGTTGATACCGTCTCATTTACTCTCTTTGTCAGACCCTCAAACCACTTTTTTCTCAGGGGAGGGAGGAACAGAAAAGACTTTGCCCAGGACTGCTGGGAGGTAGAAGGAGAAGGGGAAACACCGGGGTTTCTGCACAGGAAACGGGTGATTCTGCAGCGCTGTGGCTAAACTGCTGGCACAGAAGTACACAGCCGAGTCCCTGGGTTCTGAGGGCTGGATCTTCAGAGTGGAGAATGATGCGTCAGGCATCTTAGCTGAGAATCGATCCTTGGGCATCCCTGAATCATCTATCGGATACTTGTTGTTAAAGTAAATCAGGAACTCCAGTCCCCGCATCATGGTCTGTCTGTACCAGAAGAGGTAGGTATGGCCTGAAATTGGTTCGCATCTCAGAGTCACTTCTTTTCCCATCTCTGTCACCTCATGCCGGGGTGACTGGATAACTCCAGCATCTGTGTGCTCTGTGAAAGAAGGAAGAATTGGGCATCAGAATAAGGAAAATATATGAGGTCATCCATGCAGGAGCCCAGTGTGACGATGGTAAATATTCTGAAGACTCACTCGCTACCACGATACAAAGGGACACACAGCAGAGAGTCCAGGAGCCCATGGCAGAGTGAGAGCAGATGTGGAACATTCCAGGCCCTCTGTGAGCATGAGCAAATAAATGAATGTTGTGACACTTTATCCCCACAAGATGCATCTGTCAGTGACATCACTGAATGGGCCACCAGCCCCAACTTCTTTAAGAGGAGGCTGCATCTCTGGCAGATGAATCAGGCAGGACTGAACTCAACTCTAATGGATCTGAGATACAGATGCACACATGCAGAGGCTCCCTGGGTATTTGTTTTGATATTAACAATTCATAGCACCTTCTCCATAACATGCCTTACGTAGGAGCCTGCCAACTTTATCCATCTGCACCTCAGACTCCAAGTATTTAAAGATGAACTCATTGTCTTACTGCAGGCGAGCTTCTCTGCAAACTCTCTCATTCCTCTCACTGGTGGCTTGGTGCTTCTACTCCTTTATGCATACTTCAATTATCAGTGAGTTAGGAGTAGGCATCTGAGAAGATGCATGTCAACTGCATTGGTAGGGATACAGGAGCTGAGATGATGCCCTGAGAAATGATTATATTTGAAGCTCTTCCTTGCAGTGAAAAACCTGGGTTTATTTATCCTTGAACTGTATTGAATTCCCAAGGCCCGTGGAATGGAACCTCTCACATTCTCTATTCCCACAATAAAACAGAGGATAAGATTGTCTTATTCTTGAAGACTTGCAGCTAAAATGTTCTATTCTTGAATTAAATCTTATTACTACCCCTAGAAAAGTTCAATGTTTTTTCATCATTAACACCTGGCCTTTTCCCCATAACCTCACTTCTGCAAACCTACTTCCTCTCAGAGATTATGGAAAGCTGAGAGAAAGATTTGTTTTTTGAGTTGGTCAATTCAGTTACTTGCCATAAAAGGGCATATTTTGACTCTTGGCACAGAGGTATGCTTCTGAGTTCACTGCATTCAAAAGTACTTGCCAATGTTAAAGGGCATTAGTTTGCAGACTAGCTTGTGTTACCGGAGGGGCCTATTTCCCTGTGGGCTCTATCCTTTTGCAGGGTCTGTTGTACCTAGGATATAAAACTGTGGTCATAATTCTGTCTTCAAAAATTTAATTGCTTACCACTCCCTGTAACCACGTACCAAGTGTGGCAGGCAGCATGACAACCTCTCAAAGATGTCCATGTCTAATTCCCAGAAACTGGGAATGTGTTAAATTATGTGGCAAGGGGAGAAAGGAATGTTCCAAATGGAACAAAGCTTGCTAATCATCTGGCCTTAATATAGGGAGCGTGGCCTGGATTTTCCAGGTGGGCCCAATGTAATCACAAGGGTCCTAAAATGTAGAAGAGGGAGAATAAAGAGTGAGCCTCAGAGTGATGCAGAGCAAGCAAAGGCTCAGCCAGTCCCTGTTGGCTTTGAAGATTGAATGGGGCCATGAGCCAAGGAATGCTGATGGCCTCTAGAAGTTGAAAAGGAGAGAAAAACAGTTCTCCCCTAGAGCCTCGGGAAGGAATGCAGTCCTGCCAACACCTGGATTTTAGCCTGGTTTTGGACTTCTGACCTGCAGAACTGTAAGATAATTGCTTTTAGTTATTGTAAGCCACCAAGTTAATGGTAATTTGTGTCAATAGAAATTGAATACCTTCTAGTAGCCATGGGACTGATGGGTGAGAGGCAGAAGCCAGATACAAAATACAGGTAGAGACAGATGCATGATCACATGGAATGAATTTCAAATCAGGCTAAAGGAAGTCTATAATGCAGCTGGGCTTTAGAAAAGGAGGAAGGAAAATAATCTGGAAGCACCCAGGAGGAATTCTGCCCTATTTCCGTCTTGAGTGTCAGGACCCCGTGCATAAAAAAAAAAAAAAATAGGAGAATGACAAAGTGGAATTTGGCTTACGGCAGAACTCCAACAAACCTCAGTTGCCTTGGGCACTCAAAATACAGGGATCTGTTGCCTCAATTGTCAATGATACCATGATAGTGATTTAGAAGGAATCAATATTAAATATGAATATCAAAGAGAAATTATAACCACTCAGAATGGATTGCAGGTATTGTATAGAAACTTCTCATATAAATAAGAAAAATGTAAATTTGTGTGTTAAGGACGTGTAATCAGAAAGGAAATGGGACAACAGAAGACTGGACATGCTTGTCTGCTTTTAGATACCCCAGTGTGGGTCCTCACCAGGAGGCCTCATTAGTGCTGTCTGACTGTGCACAGCCTTTAGCCAGCACCTGGCTCTTCTTATGCAGAATAGAGACAAATGGATCCTTAGATTCCAGGCCAGATAACTTACATCTAATGTACCAACCTGCTTGCTCTAGCCACATTTGAGACACTCTTTAGGAGTAGTGAAAAATCCCTAAGTAAACGTAAATTTGAAATTGGCATTATAAAGGAATGTCCACAATCATAGTAACGAACTTTCTTTTACAATCTAGAAAATGTGTGAGGGAAATTTCTGTTTGCAACTTAGGAGAGAATGAAGACGGCCTCATAGTTTAGAAAATGCAACCTTTCTCAGGAGCTCCCACCATTCTCATGGGATGGCAAATGCAGGAAGGCAGGGAAATCTCCAGTGTGGGTAGCCAAGGTTTATCTTACTCCTATGTGTTCTGAGCAGAGAGAATTTTTGAGGAATCCTAAAAACCCATTTTGTAATCCTCAAACCAACCTAAGGATTCCTATGTTGATACCTTCTCATTTTCTGTCTTTGTCACACCCCAAAACCATTTTGTCTCAGGGGAGGGAGGAACAGAAAAGACTTCGCCCAGGACTGCTGGGAGGTAGAAGGAGAAGGGGAAACACCAGGGTTTCTGCACAGGAAAGGGGTGATTCTGCAGCGCTGTGGCTAAACTGCTGGCACAGAAGTACACAGCCGAGTCCCTGGGTTCTGAGGGCTGGATCTTCAGAGTGGAGAATGATGCGTCAGGCATCTTAGCTGAGAATCGATCCTTGGGCATCCCTGAATCATCTATCGGAGACTTGTTGTTAAAGTAAATCAGGAACTCCAGTCCCCGCATCATGGTCTGTCTGTACCAGAAAAGGGAGCTGTGGCCTGAAATTGGTTCGCATCTCAGAGTCACTTCTTTTCCCATCTCTGTCACCTTATGCCGGGGTGACTGGATAACTCCAGCATCTGTGTGCTCTATGAAAGAAGACAGAATTGGGGATCAGAATAAGGAAAATATATGAAGTCATCCATGCAGAAGGCCAGGGTGATGATGGTAAATATTCTGAAGACTCACTCGCTACCAGGATACAAAGGGACACACAGCAGAGAGTCCAGGAGCCCATGGCAGAGTGAGAGTAGATATGGAACATTGCAGACCAGGCCCTCTGTGAGCATTAGCAAAGAAATGAATTTTGCGACATTTTATCCCCACAGGATGCATCTGTCAGTGACATCACTGATTGGGCCACCACCCCCAACTTCTGTAAGAGGAGGCTGCATCCCTGGAAGATGAAACAGTCAGGAATTAACTCAACTATGATTGATCTGAGATACAGATGCACACTTGCAGAGGCTCCCTGGATAGGTTGGTATTAGTTATTGTTTTTGGATATTCATCATCAAATATTCAATGTCATGGTGTTCCCTTCTCCATAACATGCCTTACATAGGAGCCTGCCAACTATATCCATCTGCACCTCAGACTCCAAGTATTTAAAGATGAACTCATTGTCTTACTGCAGGCCAGCTTCTCTGCAAACTCTCTCATTCCTCTCACTGGTGGCTTGGTGCTTCTACTCCTTTATGCGTACTTAAATTATCCATCAGCGAGTTAGGAGTTAGGCATCTGAGAAGATGCATGTCAACTGCATTGTTAGGGATACAGAAACTGAGCTGATGCCCTGAGAACTGATTACATTTGAAGCTCTTCCCTGCAGTGAAAAACCTGGGTTTATTTATCCTTGAACCGTGTTGAATTCCCAAGGCCCATGGAATGGAACCTCTCACATTCTCTATTCCCACAATAAAACAGGGGATAAGATTGTCTTATTCTTGAAGACTTGCAGCTAAAATGTTCTATTCTTGAATTGAATCTTATTACTACCCTAGAAAAGTTCAATGTTTTTTCATCATTAACACCTGACCCTTTCCCCATATCCCCACTTCTCCAAACCTACTTCCTCTCAGAGATTATGGAAAGCTGAGAGAAAGATCTGTTTTTTGGGTTGGTTAATTAAGTTACTTGCCAACAAAAGAGAAGGGCACATTTTTTGCTGTTGGCACAGAGGCATGCTTCTGTGTCCCCTGTAGTTGAAAGCACTTCCCAAAGTTAAAGGGCATTAGTTTGCAGACTAGCTTGTGTTACTGGAGGGGCTATTTCCCTGTGGGCTCTTTCCTTTTGCAGGGTCTTTGGATCCGGTATATAAAACAATGGCCATAATTCTGTCTTCAAAAAGTTAATTGCTTATTACTTCCTGTAACCAGGTACCAAGTATGGCAGGCAGCGTGATGAGCTCTTAAAGATGTCCACGTCTAATTCCCAGAAACTGGGAGTGTGTCAAATTATGTGGCAAGGGGAGAAAGGAATGTTCCAAATGGAATGAAGGTTGCTAATCAGCTGGCCTTAATACAGGGAGCGTGTCCTGGATTTTCCAGGTGGGCCCAATGTAATCACAAGGGTCCTAAAATGTGGAAGAGGGAAAATGAAGAGTGAGCCTCAGAGTGATGCAGAGTCCCTGTTGGCTTTGAAGATTGAATGGGGCCATGAGCCAAGGAATGCTGGTGGCCTCTAGAAGCTGAATAGAAGAGAAAGATAGTTCTCCCCAAGAGCCTCGGGAAGGAATGTAGCCCTGCCAATACCTGGATTTTAGCCCAGATTTGGACTTCTGACATGCAGAACTGTAAGATAATAAGTTTTTGTCATTGTAAGCCATAAAGTTATTGGTAATTTGTGTCAATAGAAATTGAATACCTTCTAGTAGCCATGGGACTGATGGGTGAGAGGCAGAAGCCAGATACAAAATACAGGTAGAGACAGATGCATGATCACATGGAAAGAATTTAAAATCAGGCCAAGGGAAGCCTATTCAAAAACATCTTCTTATGTCTGCCTAGGCCTCATCTTCTTCCAGGAGACACACTGGACTATGCCTCATATGTAGATATGCTGGTGGCATCACTGTGATTGTCAGCTCCCTGGGGAGAGGGTCCCTCTGCTGTGGTCCTGGGTAGCACCTCCATTTCTTGCTATTCTACTCTCTACAGAGCAGGTAGGGTTGCCCTTGGCTGATTTGGGGCCAGGCTTTCCAAGGCTCCTTTGACACAAGAACTCCTTCTCTAGTTTTCTCAGCTCAGAACATGGGCCCTACACCACCCCAGCTCCTTGTGCCCCCACATCTTAAGCGAGCTCAGAGGTATATGCCCTGCAAAGCACACCTGTCACTCAGCCCCACTCAAAGCTCAATTTAAAGCAAAACCCACCTCTACAATGGAGGAAGAAGGGTCGGTTACTAATTCCTTTATTCCCAGCCATCATTCAAGACCTCCGCAAACCAACTCCCTGAATCTAGGTCCAACCTCAGAGTAATCCTTAACCATCTTTTTCCAGGGAGCAATCTCTGCTCCTCCCTGTAGACTCTGGATGACAGCGAAGCCACAGTGCCTCCTAGTGGCCAGTAGGCTGGAACAGCACAAATATGCTGTCTTTTGCCAAGACACAGGGACTTGGGCTTTGTTTCACTGAGTACGGGGCGTATAGAATATTATGATTAGTTAGTGTTAGAAGGCCAACGAATAATATTAGTGCTATGGGGTAGGACAGAGACACCCGAGACATTGATAATGCGGTCAGAAAGGTGGAAACATAATGCCGGGTTTAATACTGATAAGCAGCAGGTCTCAATGTGAAACTTGATGGGCTGGCTAACATGGTGCTGAATCAGAATTTAACCATTCTCTGTCCCCTCCAAACGGCAGGCTAGCCCTGCATGGAAGAGAAAGTTCGCCACTGATCTTGGCACACATTGAAAGCGCACCAAAGAATCTACCTTTTCTCTAGGGAACCAGGAGGAAAACAGGAAATAAGGAGAGACTAAAATGAAGAGAACAAATACTATAACCGATTTCCCTTCCATAGAGAAGGTTTGGCAAGGAATGGGAAGATTAAAACAGGATTATTATTTTCGGGGTGCCCCACAAAATGGGGTATGTGGAACAAACTGTTGTCCCAGGAGGGGGTAAAACAATAGTAACATATCAGTTACTCCCTCCAATTTTGACCACTGCCCCTGGGGAATACTCATAAAACAGCCAAAAAATACATCCCCAGGGTGCAGTAATTAAATTAATTTGAAGCCCAATCTGTACTATCTGACCTAATCTCAACAATCTCTTGATTGTGTTTCTCATCTTGCCATATGGTCCAATGGAACACAGAGGTTATGTGATAGAAATAAATAACAATATAAGAATACCCTAGTAAAAACATGCCCCAAACAAAAATATGTCTCAATTGGATTATGAATGGCCTTTAAGTTTTTTTAAAAAAAGTATTTGATATCAGAGTTTAATATCTCTATACCATTTAAGTTAAATATCAGACACATCACAAAGAATCTAACATTAAAATTCAAGGAAAATTAGAATTCCAAGTAAAGTTATTTTCACCTTAATCCCAATAATTAAGGATAATGGCACTCACTCTTTCTGTTGTTATCTACATAGTTGGAAAAAATATCAAAAACAACATTAAAAATTTCAGTTAATTAAAGTCCTAAAAAAAAAAAATAAGGAATAACTTGGCTGGAATGTTGGTGAGGGCAAGAGCCCTGGGAGGTAAGCACAGCAGTCCATTTGTCCTAGAGGGCATTTGCAGATCCTGACTCAGCACTCAGGAAGCTGACTCACAGGCCAGGGGGGTAAAGGCAAAAACCAGAACATACCAAATGTGTCATTGTCAAATTCCAATAGTAACAATAAACCAGAGACAAACCTGTTCTCCAGATGCTCCAGGACACCTCAAGCCTTAAACTGATTCAGGGAGCCTGATCGTTTATACCTACATGCACTTTCAGAAGCACAGAAAAATGATCGCTGCTGAAAAATATGGTCCATCCTACACCAAAAATTATTTCCACAGCTTTAGCATTTGGCACAATGTCAAACATCATCAGATTGGTAAGGAGAAATACAAACGCCATTAAAACTCAAGCAGCATAACTGAGAAGCAGCACAAAAAGAAAATCACAAAAATATCCTGTGAAGATCTCAGAGGTGAAAATGATCAGACAGACTCTGAAACAACCGTGTGTCCTATGTTCAAATAATAAAAAGTGATCTCAGAAAATATGAGGAAGTTATTGACTATAAATAACATAGCAGATTGGAAAAAGAAAAAAATAGAAATTTTGACAAGGAGATGGTGAGTGAGTGGTCATTTTAAACCATCACATCGGTGAGGTTTTATTAGAGGAATAAAGGAAAGGGAGATGTGCACTGAGCAAATGGACGTAAAGCCTGACTTGCCATCAGGAATTAGATTGGATAAGGAGGGGAGGGAAGTCAGGAGGGGCTAATGGACAGTGACAATGCTTTCAGACAATTTCCAGTATGCTGCTTTTTAGTAATTCTAACCAATACTTCAGAAAGATTTCTAGAATTATCTTAGTTTAGGCAGAAGAAGAGTAGTGAATATGGAGCTAGACACACAGAGTGTATTATCAGAGAGGGCAATTGATTGCTTCAGAAGTTCTTACAAGGAATATTTTAATCCACCAAGGAACTTTTAATATATAAGGCAGACAAGTGGAAATGTCCTCTGAACTGACTGGTCCAGGTCTATATATACTCTTGGGCTGGGATGATTACATAGAAGAGTTAGAAAGTTCAGGAGAAGCAGAATTCATCTGGAGCTAAGATTTGGGACTGGTTGCCGGGGTATCCATTTGTGTGCATTTCTTTGAACTAGAAAAAGGGCTGAATAACGTAGCTGAAATGATAATCACTATCATTAACAACATCATTATTAACATACTATAACAAAAATAAAACAGAAGGGAAAATATTTCCAAACGCATACTATGTGTTGAGACTTTGCTAGACAGCCAGGGTGTCACCAAGGATAACAAGTCATTCACACGCTGACAACTACAGAGGGGGAGCCTGCTGTTTGCTGCTTGGTATAATCACTATCTGTATTACTAAGTTTATTGTACATGTTTCATGATCTCATACTTTTATGGGAGAGAAACTATCACTACCCCTGAGGACTCAATCTCTGATAAGTCACTTTAGGTTTCTTCAGTTGTCCCCAAGAAGTGTTCCAAATCCCTGAGACACATTTTCAACCAACAATGATAGCACTCATGTTTTAAGAAAGAGTTCATTTCCTCCCACTGTATGAATCC